ATCAATTGTTTCACTCACCTTTTCTTCGAGCTCTTTAGCACCTACATGTTCCTCTTCCTTATCCTTTTGACAATCTTCCTCCATCTCTTTAACTTTAACGCGGCATGGAATAATAGTTAAAGGAATAAGTTTGAACCTCTTGTTTCCCACCTTGACCGAATATGTGTTGGCCACACCATCATGTTTAACATGTCGATCAAATTGCCATGGTCTTCCTAAAAGAACGTGACAAGCACTCATAGGAATCACATCGCACCATAATTCTTCCTTGTAATTGCCAATGGAAAAGCTTACTAAGGCTTGTTTCTTCACATGAAGTCCCTTAGAATCATCAAGCCAACTCAACTTGTAAGGATTCTCATGTACTCTTGTTGGAAGGTTGAGCTTAGTAACCATCTCTGTGGACGCCACATTGGTACATGAACCACTATCAATGATCACCTTGCATGATCTATCTCCTACTTTGCAACGAGTATGGAACAAATTCTCACGTTGATCTTGAATAGAAGTGACTTCGGTGTGTAATATCTTCCTTAAAACAAGCAGCTTATCTTCATCTTCGGCATAGACAACCTCATCCTCTTCTTCCGAGTCAACAACCTTTTCCTCCTTATTATGAATTGACTCCTCTTCACACTCAAAGGTTATGTGTTTCTCTTCTTCTACTTGTTGTTCGTATTGTCTTATTGTGAGAGCTTTCTTGGAAGGACATTGATCCGACCTATGTCCCTTTCCTTGACATTTGAAACACCTAATTCGGGATTCGAACTCTTCTTTAGATATCTTAACAAATTTCTTTTCTCCACTTGTTGAGCTTTCTCCCTTAGACTCGTTGGAACTCGGTTTAAAAGGTTTGAAAGTTTTGCTTGTTTCGGTCCCTTGTGAGAACTTGGTACCAAAACTCTTTGTACTTGTGCTCTTCTTATCTTCGAGCCAATGACTTTCAATTTTTAAAGCTAGTTTGCACACATCATTGAATGACTCATAAGTACTCAATTCAATCTTCTTAGCAATAAGTCGATTAAGACCCTTAAGGAATCGAGCAATCCGCAATGGTTCTTTCTCCTCCAAATCACAAAGAGAGGTTAGTTTATCAAATTCAGCAATATATTCATTAACACTCTTAGTATCTTGTGTCAACATAGTGAGTTTCACATATAGAATTTGTTCGAAATCATGTGGAAGGTATTTAGAACGCATCTTCTTCTTCAAAACTGTCCATGTCTTGATCTTATCCTTCCCTGCTCTAGCACGTCGAGTCTTTAAATTATCGAACCAAATTCCCGCATTCTTAGTGAGTCGTATATAAGCAATTTTGAAACGTTGAGAATCATCAAAACCTTTATAATCTGAAATTTTCTCTAAGTGTCTCGCCCACTCAAGAAAATCTTCGGGGCTTCCTAGACCCGTAAAATCATCAAGCTTGATACCTTTATCATCAATCTTATTCATATTATGAGTATCAACATCACTACTAGAAGCATCACTATCACTATCATGCCGTTTTTTCTTCTTTTTCTTTTTATCAAGCAATAGTTGTGAAAAAGCATTAAAACGTGCCTCCGTATTATCTTGCAATCTTGCAAATTCATCCATGAGTTTGCTCAAAGCTTCCTCCATAATTATAAGACAAAAACAGACTTAAAAGAACCCTTATCCACACAGGTATATCCCACAAAAATCGCAACACAACTTGGAACAAAATTGCACACAACGAGCAGTAAGTATTAAATCGGACCAAAACTGACACAGTTGCGGAAAACAGTCCAGTTTAATAGCAAACGAACTCGAAAAATTTCGAAATTTCACAGGCAGAAAGTAGACAAAATTTCACTCAAAATCAAAAAAAGAATCACCTGAAAAGACCTTGTAACGAAGGAGAACGAGCCTTCTGAAGTTGACAGAAAAACTGGTTATCCGAGAACAAGTGCGATTTGATGAACGAAGTGTTGAACGATCAAAAACCCCTGAAATCTGATACCAATTTGATGTGGTATCACACAAGCTCTGATACCAATTTGATGTGGATTTAAACCCCTTAACTTAATAAAGAATCTAAAATCACACAAGTAACACAAGCCCTTCGAATTTCCTAAGAAAATCGAACAACTTAAGAATAACGAACCGGATATGACTTTGAAAACGACCACTCCTGGAACGAATTCAACGCCTCTCAAATTACCTAGACCACTCCTGGAACTAAGTACTTTGATGAACAAAACTTAGACTACTCCTAGAACTAAGAATTGAACGTTCTAATTATCAAAACAACTCCTTGAATTGAAAACTAGCAAAAGAATTTGTAAGCAATTAAGCAAAACAAACAATAAACTTGTATTGAATTTTCTGGTTTTGGTTGTGTATACAAAGCCACGAAAAATCCCTTATTTATAGACTAAACTAACTATTCCTAAGTCTATTCGAACTAGGAAAAAAAACCCTAGCCTTGATCCCCAAGTATCCTAGATAGAATAGGAAAACCAATTCTAATGGAACTAGGAAACTAGTAATAAGACTAGTTCTAATTAAACTAAAACTTCTTAAAACAATTTCTAATTGACTTAGAAATTATTTTAAACTAAAATAACAGAAATTAAGAAGATTCCTAATTGCTTAAACCAAGAAAAACCCTTTCAAGTGAAAGGTAAAAACTTGCAAGCAAAAACTCTAGAAAAAACTAAGTTAGGAAAATCTTTCTTTTCGTACTGCCGCCGAACCACCACCTCACGCGCCGCCATCATCGACACGCGCCCCACCGCCGTGTAGCTGGACTCAGGCCGGAGCTAGGGAGTCGGCGCGTGGCACCCAGATCGGCGCGTCGCCGCCGCTGCCGTCGTCGGAACCCAACTGGACCTTGACTTCTTCTTCAATGGCTGCGCATGTTAACCATTCTTGATTCTTTACTCCAAGCTCAAACCCTATTGGCCTTAAAACCAATATGATTGGCTCTTCAAAAGAATTTCCCTCTTGATCCACATCAACATCATTCTTTCTCCTACCTATATACACAACCCCAAATCCCTCTTGCTCTCTACGATAATAATTATTCATGTCATCAAAGTACTAAACTACATTCCTACTTTTGGTTGAGGTATTGCAGCTGCACCTAAACATCTACCTGATCCTGAACTATATAAGTCTGCCCCTATACAGTCATCATTCAACTCAACACCCTCCCCGGGAATGCTATATTCTGCAGGATTCTTATTCAACCAGGGAATGCTACATTCAGCAGGGTCCCTATTCAAGTCAAAACTCTCCCCAACATCAATATTCAAATCATCATACAAATCAAATTGCACACTATCATCACTATCTGAACTGCAGTTTACATATGTGCTCCCCTCCATAACCTGGTTCTAGTTCTCTACATTATAATCCTACCACCCAAATACAAATGAAAACAAAGTCTTCTCGCATTGTAATAAAATACAACAACAATACAAGAAAAGAACAACACTCTTCCGACACATAATTCACTTAACTACAAGATGAATTACTAGAAATAAATTCAAATTAATAAACAATCTTTAATCAGTTTATAATTTCCCCAAACAAGAACAGAACACCACAACTATTAGACATAACAAAACAAGTTCATATCATTCACTATTATCCTACTTCTCAAAATCAATAATTCAGATCAATTAGCCAGAATCACCCATTACCAATTATTTAGTTCAACCACTTACAGCATTTACTAAACCAATTCCTCAACAATAACATATGGTTCAAAGTTTAAGGAATCGAAAGCAACACTTACCTCAGTCATCTTAATTTCTTTGTTCGCCACATTATCATAATTCATTTTGCTTTTCGCCGACCTCACAACGTCTTCAATTTAAAGATTAATTTTTGTAAGCTAACTCGAATTGCGTGAATTAATTTGTCGCAAAATTAGGGTTTCTCACAAAATCAGGACTTCATCTCTTACAAATACATTTCCCTCCAGCTCTTCAACACTAGTTTGTTCATTTTTTTTGCCGAGTGGCATCTTCAAAACGAATGGGGGGAACTCCATTAATTTTTTCGCCAAAAGTTTTAGAGGGAAAAATCTAGGAGATTTTTTACCCCCCATGTTTTGATAGGAAAATTTGGGAATGGAATCTTTGGTACAAAGGAAAAGGAAGCGGGTCCCCTTCTGTTGTACTATTCTTTAAGTTATTTTGTTTTTTGTAACCTTTTAAATTTTATTTATTTATTGTTATTTTGTAAAAATTTTGTTGAGTCCAAGTTGGATTCATGTAGGTACAGACCAAGAATTTCTGGGAAAGAGGGGGGGGAGGTCATAGGGTGTGAAATAAGAAAAAGCAGAACGAAAGAGAAACAGTGGGTTTAGGTCAATTTTAAAAGAGGATAAAAAGTGATGTTTGATAACAAGATGTACCCCATTTTATTTTTCAAAGAATTCGACTTTTTTGTACAATTTGAAAAGGTCAATTTGAAAAGAGGATAAAGAGTGATGTTTGATAACCAGTTGTACCCCATTTTATTCAAATCCCTCGCCGGAAAAAATGTCAAGAGAGCCTAAATTCGGTGTTTTTTCTTCGGACATTCGCTAGTAAAGTTTGACGCGGCCGAATTTCAAATTAAAACGGTCGTACCGGCCAAAATCATGGAGTATTGTAAAGCAGTGTGCTGTACCGGTAAATATTGGAACGGCACGAGCAATTTTCAACGTAACAGCCGAGTTTTTATACCATGCTTAGGACTAACAGCAAAGTTGATAAATTTTGCAGCTTGATTAGTATCAATTTGGCTTTATATGTGATTACTCTAATGATACTTGAAAGTTGAAACTAATTTACTTGATGAAGTTACGGACATTTTCCTCAGGCATTAGTGCTTCTCATGTTAGCCTTAACACTGAAGTTCTAATTGCAATTTATGAGAAGACTAGAATCAAAATTCTAGAAAAGCTTCAAAAACAGGCATGTATGTTCAAGGATCCTCTTTTGGCACGGGCCAGAGTGGATATCCGAATTCATCAATCAATAATATTATAAGTTGACACGAGTATACAAACCTTCTATATCATCTTTTCATTAAGTTACAATCACATTACAAGATGAACCGAAGTACTAATAGAAACAATGAGTAAAATCCTACAAAGAAACAGCTGAAAAGCAAATCATGTAAAACAAAAAAGGGTGGCAAATCTTTCTAAAAATTCTGTTAGACCACAAAATAGGCTGAAATAAACCCATATTCAGTATGTGCCATGCCCTCAGTGTCAACTAACAACAAATGCCGAATGTGAGCAGGATAATATATCTCTACTTCCATCACTGAGAACCATCAGGAAAATAATCCAAGGCATCTTGCTTGCCGTTGAAGTAATAATCGACTACAGCTCTCATTCTTGGAAGTTTGTCAGGATGGTAATTTATATGGATGATCACAGGTTTCAACTTCTTCAGGTTAGGGTCTTTTCTAACAGTCTTAAATAAAACTTTACTGTTCATGAAAGCATAGAAATCCATGGTCCTCCGAGAAGCATGAAGCCCTTCATACCCTGGATGTGAAGAGTAAAAGAGCACCTCATTGAAAACTGCCTGGTCCCATGCTTTCTCCTTGGACAGCCTATCAGCAACGCGATCCAAAAGCTCAATGGAAGGAATAGTAGGCCTTATGTAAAAGAACCCAGAATTATAAACCCAAATCCTCATAGTATGTGCATACCGAGCCCATCCCATTGCAGGTTCATCAAAGACATCATTATACCCATAAGCAGTCGCGTTATTATGACCATCTGTCATTGACTCCACATCAGAATCACGATAAAGATGATCAAATGGATTTTTCAAGTAGATTATATCAACATCTGAAAGAAGAATACTATAACCAAGCTGCAAAAACTCCCTTAATATACGGAACTTCAATCCAGAGACGGCATGATTTCCACCTGACCTTCCTATTTCATCCACCCCTTCATCCGGGTCTCTCTTATAGACAGCCACACCATTGGCTTTGCAATAACTCTCAATCTCATCATCCAACCCCACAACCAAATAATTAAGTATACCGGCTTTCTTGACAGTCAATACCTGCACTTCTAACATCTCCTTCACATTCGCATTTGCCAACACAACCACAAGCTCTTTCCTAACAGCAATTTCTTCTAAGATCTTAGCCAATCTGGGGTTAACCAATTCATCTGGCACTACAGTTGGGTTCGTCCTTAAACTCTTGACAGTACCGAAAGGCCCTGCCTTAGGTTGTTCACCCAATGCCAGGAATTGCTTTTGAGCAGTGTCTGTTCCCTGTTCAGCCAACCTCAGCTTCTCATTTAGCTCCCTCACTTGCTTCCTCAACTCTGCATTCTTCTCCGTCATCCTAACAATATCGGTCTTTAGTATATTAATCCGCTCACTTGATTCACAGTCCGACGAACTCTCCTGTTTCACACCAAAAAAATCACACAACTTCAACAAACATCATCTCCCCAATATTTGTTATTCTCAAAGTAACAATTAAACAAAACAACCACCAAAAGCCAGAATCTTGAATCATCAACTATGTCAATACTATCACAAACACAATCATCCAAAAAATATATAAATCCACAATATATCAAAATATAAATAAAGGGAAAAAATATGTACTTTAACTTACAACTAGCAAATAATCTCATGAAGTAGATGTTAACTAGTACAACTTGGTAAAGTTAATTTACGACTTAGGATCAAATCCCGTCCCGTTTACATAATTGTCTTTTACGTCTCGCCAAGAAACAATATTCCTCGAAAACACCAAACAAATCCCACTTATACGAAAAGGGGATCGACTAAATTATACGTCAACCAAAAATATAAATTCCCCAACAAAACTAAAATAAAATAAAATATAATGGACAGATTATAAGATGAAAAACCTGAGAAATGGAATTGGAGATAGTGGCAGCAGCAGAATAAGGATTGAAAAAGCCGTGAGGGAAAAAAATGGCGAATACACACCCCATTAATATTCCAATCGTAATAGCAATTGCGATTCGAGATGGTCGAATGCTGCTGCTGCTGCTGCTTCGCATCAAACCATCTCGACGACCCCCCATCATTTGATGGATTTTGGTTTGATGATTGAATTTGAATAAATCAAGATTTTGATTTTGGGAATATTGAGATCAATTAGGGAATTTGTTAAATTTGAGGGAGTTTAGAATTCGAAATGGGGTGAATTTGTTAGGAAGAGGAAGAAGAGCTAGTGAGAAGCAGCGGCTTCATAGTGCAGAACATTTTATTTTATTTATTTATTTTTTTTACAAGAAGAGAAAGGATTTCATGAAAAATAGCCAAACGACACTTACAAATAATTCCGAGGAAATCTAAAATTCCAATACAAATACAATTTACCTTAGAACTAGTTACATCGCAGATTCAATCAAATATCGCCTTTATAAAAATCTTCATCTGAAGCAATACAATCTGTGAGTTAGCACTAATTCAGCTTGAGATCCACATATGAATAGTTGTTTTGGTGAAAAACTCATATAGTCTTCTAGACACTTTTGGAGATTGTGAACCCCTAAATCTTCAAACTTTAACAGATGAACAAACAAATAAATTAAACCTAATAGATCAAACTTCATCATAAAGATGTAATCTTTTATTGAAAGCAATTAAAAAGTTTTTTTTGGGGCTTACCACCGGTAAAAATACCGATGGAAGCCCCTACAAAAATTTACAATTGAGATCAGAAGAAAAGAGATGGAAGAGAAAGAGAGAGAAGGAGAAGATTGAAGGAAAACCTTTAAAGTAGAAAAATCTAGCAATGGAGGCTAGAAAAACCTTCCCAAGGGAGAACCCCTAGAGGGAACCAAAAAACCCTCCCAAGGAGAAAACCTAGAGGGAACCAGTCTATACTGCAGAATATCTTGAGTGATGCATCTGTTTATTATCGCTTTCATTCTTGTTGATTTGGCTAACTGGTATTAATGTATATAATTTAAGGAAATTTATTACGAAGTAGGTTCTCTATCCAAAATATTAACTTCGCTCATGTAGTACTTTTTTGGGGGGAAGTACATTTGAAGAATTGTTAGACAAAATAAAATGTCTCGCAACATAAAATAATATAGCAAATGTACTTGGAAGAAAGAGGAAGGAAGAGAGAGATAGAGTGAGTGAAAAAAGGTGAGGTAGGGTCCACCTTTGGAATAAAAAATGGTTTCACGTGCAAAAATGACAAAATGAAAATTGGGACCACAACTACTGAGAGTATATTTTGTATCACTGACAATTTTTATAAGTACCACTAAAAAACATTGAGTATTACTGGGAGTGTACTTTGTACCACTAAACTGTAATGATATTATTTGAAAGCCTAATTAGACATTTGAACCTTTTTTTAAATACCACTAAAATTATATTTTGTACCACTGAGAGTGTATTTTGTACCACTTAATCTAAAATGGCAAAATTTAAATCTCGCATGAAATGACTAATCTACCCCTGCAATGTACTTCTAAATCTCTCTCAACCCTCCGTTTATATAACCTCCTTTTTTTGGTGCCACTATTAATCTCATTTTTGGTCCATCCGTCAATATTAATTTCAACTTTTACGAAATATTTATGTTTTATGAGTGCAACTAGGTGCATAACTCCTATATGTTTAGGATGCATATAGGAGGGTTAATTGGTAAATTCATTTAGTTTTTGAATTTTTTTTATTGCTACAGTAGTATGTTTAATGTACTATTATACTTACAGTGGAATTTTTAATGTACTACTAGAGTATAAGCTGTTTTAGTAGTATCATTCATAGCTATTTACTTGGTATGTAAATAGCAGGTATGCGCCAATACTTAATCATGTTTTATCACACCCAACTTTGTACCCCTTTTATTTTTATCAACCCATGTAACTTGCAACCGGTTTAAGAGGTAAACTTTGCTGACTTCTGATTATTTGCACATGAGTTGCAACATAGGTAGGTTAAAAAAGAAAAAATAAATAACAAAAAAAAGTTAAAAAAGAATAATTTTTTGGACCTATCATGTGTTTTGGACCTATCACGTGTTTGATAACTTGCTATAACATGTTAGATGAACGGTTGAGAGTGATAAAATTTAAAGGGGTATAACGTTGGGATTGTTAAAAAAACGAAAGTTGGGATTAACATTGGCGAACAGATCAAATTTGGAGTTTATCATGGCAAATTTTCCTACTTTTTTTAAACATCTACTAATGTAATACTTTCATCATTGTAAGATCATCATCAATGGTGAGACTCATTGGATTTTTTTAAGAAGTGAGAGTTTTTTTTTTTTTTTTTTACAAAGAATACCAATAAGGCGCTATTTAGTTCAACTTATTTTTACTTATTTTAAAAAAGTATAAATTTAGATAAGCTCATAAAAAATAAGTACATATCACATCAGTTAAAAAAAAGTTCACATCATATCATTATTTTATGTGCAGTTTTTAATCGCTAAATATCTTTAATTTTGTAATGAAAAAAAAATTATGAAAGTAACATATTAATAAAATACACATTATTGTGAATATAACAAGACCCCACTTAATATTATTTTTTCGTTATAGATTACCGTACACTTAAGGTCAAAATTTGGTCAGATTCAGATCGATCAGACTAGATCAGATAAGTTCAGACCAGATAGACCAGACCAGATTAGATAAGTTTTGATAACAAAAAATAAGGTGAACTAAACAAGCCTTAAGTTGGTATATAAACTTAGATACCCAAAAATAAAGTTGCTAAATTTAGATACTCAACTTTGGGTTTCAATTGACAACGAAAGTGAACCCCTTAACTTATAATAATTTTATTATTTACTAGTTTTGTGCCCCTTGCAATACCCGGGTTGTTTATTAAATTTTGAGATAATTTTTTTAATCTGTATGTCAAATTTCAAAATATGTCTCTAATACAAAATTAGTTAGGAACTGATGTGCTTTTGTGACGATTTAAATTTATGTACTTTTGTGACGATTTTTATCATATTCTTAGCTTAGAGAGCTTCTCTCTCTAGTTTTAGGGTTAATTTAAGAGTAGATTTAGAGAGATAAAGTGAGGAATTTCAATGGTGATTGAGAGATTGAAGATTTAATGGTAACAATTGTGTTGAAGATCTTCTCTATTATGAATGAGCAATCTCATTTTATTGCCTTGTTTGATGTTCAAGTTTGTTTGGATTGATTTTGATGTTTGATTCATGATTAGTGTAATTGATGATGATTCTAGAGTTGTTGTTTGGCTAGGAATTGGGGGAAACTTGTATGATTGATTGATTCTGATTAATTTGCACATTGTGTTGATTTATTGTTGAGATTAAAGTGATAAATGGAAATTGTGCATGTATGTAATTCGATTAGTCCTTGAGAATTATGCTAGATTGCATTGTAATTACTAATGACACAAACAATTGATTTAGGAATTGCAATTATCGATTGGTTCAGATTGTGATTCTCTTTGTTTGTTATTCTTAAGACATCTAGCTTAATGATTAGGAGACAACTCTTTGATTCAAATTGATTTCTCTTATCATTAGTCTCCACAACCTTTGATTGGCATGTTTGTCCCAAGTTGTTGCAATTGTCATGATTACTTGTTGATCCCCTTTTCTAGTGTTTTATTTCCTTGGTTGTTTGTTTTGTTAGTTGTTAGTATTCTCTCTATATCTTTGACTTCAACCTAGCTTAGGCACCCAAATCGAAAGCATTTGAACATTACCGTTCCTTTGGGTTCGACCCTTGACTTGCCTCTATACGTGTATTTAGGTTTGTTAAGTGTTTATAAATTTCGTTTGACCGAGGTAGGATTGGTTTCAACGACCTAGTTCACTCCTTGTTAAAATGGCGTCGTTGCCGGGAAATGATGTCTATGTTTGAGTATTTTTTATTTCTTGAGTCTAGGTCTTTGTATATACTTTTCTTTTATTTGATTTTCATTTGTTTTGTGAAAAAAATGGCATGTCTATCATTTCCACAATTTGACAATGAGCCTTTTTTTTTAATATTTCCGTACACTTATAGGGTTTTTGAATTAGAATTGTTATAGTATTTGGGAGGCTTGTGAGATTTGTTATTTTTGTGTGAATGAGCAAACTAGGGATGAAGTTGAAAGCATGCATAATGTTGAATTTAGAGCATTGTCAATTAATGATGCTTGTGATTTCTATGTTTGGTTTGCTAGGGATGTCTATAATGGGGGTAATCATGTTTCTAATATTGATGTGCAATGTCTTGATTCTTCTAATATTAGCATGAATTCTCAAAAATTGTCATATGATCCTATGATTGAACCTAGAACAAATGCTTTCAATTCTTTTTCCCTTTTTGTTCATGATAATGAGTTGCATGCTCAAGTTGATGCTAATGGTGTGCTTCAACATTCTTCATTATTTACCTTGCCTTCCTGTGATGTAGTTCATTCCCTTAATAACGAATCTTATATGCTTGATTGTGCCTCCTCTCCCCTATTTAATGAAAATTCACATGATTTTAATGTTCATGATCCTACCCTTGGCTGTGACTCTTCTTTTACTATTGATCAACCCTCTTTGCCTTTTCTTTCTCCAAATTCTTGTGATGAGTCTCTAGTCCCCTATAACCAAATTGATGAATCTTTGAGGGAGTTAGAGATGAATCCTAATCTTAGGCCCTTGGAGAGACAAATGATGGGAACTTTAAGGAGCGAGTTGGAGATGATTAGAGAGCGTGAGGATCTTTTTAAATGAAGAATTGAAAAGAAAAGAAGAGTTAGAAAATGAATTGTCATATTTTATGCTTGTTTGTGAAAAAATCATATCCAATGTGTGTGTTGAGGATGATGATGATGATTTTGAGCAACCAAGAGAGGGTGAGGATCCCTTTGATGAGCATTTGAGTGATGGTGAAGGAGTTGTGAATGAAGAGAGTGTTAATTTCGAAAACCGCAACCCTTCTTCCTATCTTAATGAGTCTCTTATGCATGATTGTGATTCTTCTATCCATGAGTAATTGGACTCGTTTGAGTTTATAACCCATAAGTTCTTTGAGAATCAAAAGAAAACCCATAGCCTTTTGAATGAGTTCATTGATGATGCTTCATGGGAGAGAGATGATTTTTTAATGAATTTGCATCCATTCATGCATGGTTTCGAGATTTTGGCTTTAAGGAAGTTGAGGGAATTGTTGTCCATGAATGTATTGGAGGAGATTATGTTGTTCTCTTGGAAGTTGGATGTTTGAGGGAGATGGAGACCATGAGTGTTCATCTTTTGAGAATTCTATGATTGATTTTTATGCCCTCATTGGCGATGTGAGACCTTGTGGTGAGGGAGTAGCTACCCTTTTTTCCTTTTCTCATATCCCTTTTTTAAGAAGATTTAACCATATCCCTTACACTCCTAT